TAATATCTAAGATTTATGAAAAAATGCAATACCACATTTGAACCCTATACAAGACTGTGAGTGTTACCTCTATGTTCGGTATGTATTTGAAAGATACGCATTGTTTAGAATGCAAAAGGTTGTATGTAAAAAGTGGTGTTTTGTGATGTGCACAAAGATGTCAATCCTTTATGAAACTGGAATCTTAGCAAATGTCAGTTATACTGCAAAATGTTTTGCTAGAAAGAACATCCTTTTTATATTCAGATTGATTTAATGTTACTTCAGTAAGGCCAGTGGATGTGTACTTGACATTGTCAAAGCATCTTAAAAAACAAAGTGCCAAAATGTAAGAACGATTTTTGTGCCAAAATTTTTTTTTTCCCTAAAATTATGCAGCTGTATTATAAATCCTGCTGGTGTGGAACTACTGTTGTTGATAGCCTGTGCATAAAGTCAGATTTGAAGTTGTCTGAAGATAAACTATGATGAAGTTCAATAAAAATAAAAATATTTTTTAATTGAGGTTATACTGTAATCTATTTCTGACTTTCTTTAGTGGTTTTTAGTTCACAACCGGTTGAAAATAGACTTCATTAGACAATCAAAAACCTCAGCTTCATTTATATGCATAACATGGCATTTGCATGGCATTTTAATTAAAATTGTTCTAACCTACTATTTGAGGGGGGAGAAGAAAAGTATAATAAAAAAAAAAACATGATTTTTTTTTTATTCCCACAAAAAACTCTTTTATTGCTGTATGTTCATGTCAGATGGGATGGTGTCCTTTTCAAATATAAGGAATTTAAAAAAAAATTTTGACAAAAAAGAAATACACCGCAGTACTAAGAAATCCTCAACATTTAAATGAAAATAAATTAAAAAGTCATTTTGAATTCACAATGAATATATTCAGTAATCAAAGGAAGATTTAAAAAAAAAAAAACAATCGTTGTAAACGCATGTGGAAATATCAAGTAACAAATGATGCATGAATACATCTGATTTTAGTTTAATCCTGAAGCCAGTCTTCTTTAGCCCAGTCAGGCATTTGGGTGGAGTATTCAAAGTCAGGTCCTTTGTAGCGTAATGCATGTAGGTACATAATCAAATCCTTCTCCATTGGGTCAGGTCGCACAATTTTACACTCGCCACATAAATTATCTCTGACAAAAGCATTTGATTTTGCAGTTCTGGAGGCTTCATCTGATACTGAATCCTTTTCTTTATGAGCGCCATTCATCTCCCCCTCAATCTCAGCAGCAGATGTGCTCTTGTGAGGTTCTTGACTACCTTCTGCCTTCACTTCCTCCTGAGTCAATTTACAGGAATTGTCATCACACGCAACACCACTCGACTCAGGTGTAGTTATTTGGTCATTGTGTTCTTGAGCACCATCACTACACTCTTTCTTCGGCTCTTGCTTTCCTGAGACCTCTTCTTCAGGCAAATCCAACAAGTGCAGACTCTCCTTTGAACGATGCTCTTCTATAAGAGCTTCTAATAGCTCTTCATCACTTATACCCACTAGCCCTCCTTTGGCTCTGTTTGGACCCCATGCAGAAGACCCATAGATGGGATCATTGAGGATTGGAAAGCCAAGGAACTGAAGATGAACACGAATCTGGTGCGTACGTCCTGTGAGAGGCAGACAGCGGACTACACTAGAGCGCCCGTTATAGCTTAGTCTCTGGAAAACTGTACGGGATTCTTTGCCTTTGGGATGCACCCTACAGAGGCCCACGCGGAAGGACACTACCAGGATGGGTTCCTCACACACCACCTCACCCTCTGGAAACTGCCCTTCCACACGACACACATACTCCTTCTCTAACTGTGAGAAAAAGAAAAGTACAGTTAAAATTGGCATAAAATGAAAATTCACCTTATCTATTTTCTAAATACATGTTATAGACCTTTGTCTGACAATTCCAGACTTTTAGAGATTGCATGCACTGTGTAATTTCTAGCAAGTATTTTAGTATGGAGACCTCCACATGACATGCAGGGGGAAAAAAGGTTAAATAAATTAATAAAATATGGCCATAAATTATGTTGTGGGAGCAGATTATTAATTTGTGGCCACAATATTCAATTTTTCTTCCATTTATTTCATTCACATTTAAAAATGTAGTGAAATGTAACATCAAAATAATACATTAATAATTCACTTTTCAAACAGACAAATATATATATATATACACAAATAAAACTTGAATTCATGTTAAGAATGTTATTTAATTGGAACAAAACATTAATAACTGATATTTAAATGCAAGTTTTAAAGGGGTCATCTGATGCGATTTCAATTTTTTCTTTCTCTTTGGAGTGTTACAAGCTCTTGGTGTATAAAGAAGATCTGTAAAGTTGCAAAGACTAAAGTCTCAAAAACGGGGCATAGAGGAGAAACAATAATGTACAGTATGTGGAAAATAATGTGTTTTTTGAACCTTAAACCGAATAAACACATTGCATTACACCAAATACACAAAATAATGTTCTTTTTAGCAACGTCATACGACCCCTTTAAAAAAATTAGGAGAAAAGCATTGTGTAATTGCTTTTCTTAACCCATTTTCCAACTGATTTTCTTTATCCTTTTGCCAAATGCTTTTCTATCCATTTTTTCAGTTAAGTTAAAAAAATGTGTAGTTTATGTGGGAACAAGTTTAAGACATGTCTCTTTGATGCACAGGCAAATGTTTTTTGAAAATTTTAGCCCAAAGTCAAAGTTTACATATGTAATATTTATTTAAACTAAATAAAGATATCAACGACCATATAAAACAGATGTGTCTGCAAGGTTACATTTGTGTAAGCATAACTGTATTATGAGAAGCATATGTATTTCAAATATTGCAACCTTTCTCCACACATTATACTAGCAGTCATGCCTTGTTTTATGGAGGATGTGTCGTAAAATTCAGTATAAAGTTGGTTGGTTGCTTCCATGTGTGAACTGTCCAATGGCATGTTTTTACTTGATTTTCCAAAAAATAAAAAAGCAATTTTAAATGCTTTATAAAAGTGCAATTTAAATTGTTGCAATTATTACACTTAACATATTTAAACAAATTAAATAAACTTAATTTAATGTCTGTTTATTTGTTAATTTGAAAAGTGATACATTTACATTTCTATTTTTTATTATTAAATGAATAAGTGATTTTTTCCATTTTATTTTTAAAGCGACATACTCCGTTCTCCATAAGTCTGTGGGTCAGCGTACCCCTTACACTACCACTGTAAGCAGATTTCAACAACTGCAAACTGTGACTGACAGAATGCAGAATTTTTAAGATTGTACACCAAATGTGTCATTCATAAAGTTTGTCTTACCTGTCTCTCACGAACCATGGCATCCAGCTTTTTGGAGACCTCGAGTGTACGAGCAAACAGCAGCACACCTGAGGTGAGGCGATCCAGCCTATGTACTGTGTGGAGGCCACTAAGGCCTTTCTCCTTTCCCAGAATGAAAATGACAGTATTGTGACGGTAGCGGCCACAGGGATGCACAGGAAGTGAGGCGGGTTTATCCACCACCACCACTTCACCATCATCCACCAGAACCTCCAAGGGCCTCCCATTTACAGGGGGCTCATGACGATGCACTGTGTTCCTCATAAAGTCATTGTTCTAGACGAGCAAAAGACAAGTAAACAAACCAGCACACATAAACTGACAGTCAATGAGTGTTGTCACGTGATGTTTTACCTTTAATATTATATTCAGGTCATCCACTGGCGTGTCATTCAATTTAATACGCCCTTCTTTGACTGCCTTGTTGTAGTAATCCAGAGACTCCGCCCGGAATTCACTCTTAAAAACCTCTAGTAGTGTTTTACCAATCCAGCGTCCCTTACAGTAAGTTGTAAAATCAAAATAATAAGGATACACTTTGCGAAGACCGCCTTCAAAATAGTAGGAGGTTTCCGCAAAATGTTCTTGACTGAAACTCACACCCGGGTTGCGTTTCTGTGGAGGAGGCACGTACCGCTCTCCGGGACGCAGCTGTTTCCCGCACTTCTTCTGCTTCTTGCGGTTGCCTTGTTTCGCTGCCTCATCTGTCTCCTCGTTTTTACGTTTACCGCGGTTTGTTCTAACAGTGCTGTCCGTATTACAGCTGTCTTCTTCAACTGTGGCATCTTTAGTCTCCATGGCGTGCGCTGCAGTGTAGGGCTGTTGTTTTGAGAAGTTCGAGGTTATAAAGGACACTTGCGCTGTCCGTAGCGTTCCCAGAGTTTTAACACTCACGTTTGTGTCTCGATACAAGTGTCTCAGAAAATGATTGTTTTCTCTTTTTCCAACGCAAAGTAACGCATTTAAACCTGCTACCTTCCCCTTCACACACGCGAACCATGCCATCCAGCGGCTCAGTGACAGAATTGTTTCCGTCTTGGGTTGATGACATCATATAACGTCATGTGTTTACGAATTATTTGTGGTTTAAAGTTTTGTATCTACTTTTATTCTACACACTTTCGTCGGCCTAATTAAGTGTATTACAGAAGTATTTGTATAATTTTTTGTTTCTTCTCTTTTTTCTCTGTTTTCTTTCCTTTTTTTGTGTAACCTGATACATTTTTGAGTTATTTTCATGTGCACATTTGCTGAACACTGAACACATGTAAATCAATAATAGCTATTGTTGAACTCATTTAATCTTTACACAAGTGAATTAATTTTTTACCTTTTTTTCCACAAAAAGGTCATATTTTTTCCTGACACTGGCCATTAATCTCATACCTCTTCACAAGTTATATGTGCATTTATTTAAATTTTTTTCTACTTCTTTTAATGCATTTCTATGTATTTATATATATTTCATATTTCTTGGCAAGGATAAAAAAAATGTATAGTTTAAGGTAGTTCATAAATCCGACATCATAGTATACTGAGCTTTATTAATTTGATTAAAAAAAACACACCGCAAGGCCTTATATTATGTTTACATTTGTGTACACAATTAACATATGATTCTACATTTAATGTGTAGATTAATATACATTTTTTCAGATTAATTAAAATCAAACTTAAATTACACAGTTGATTAGACAACAGCAACACTTCAACTCAAATTCTGACTCCATGCACAGACTACAAAAAAGAGAATACGTTTTTTAACTCATTTTTTTATTTCATTAGCTAAAAGTATTTTTGTTTCCCATTTATTTAAGCCTTGGCGTATAACTTAGTAGTGAGACATTGAAATGATTCATAGCACGGTAGCAGTTACATTTCCACATATAACTGTACTCTATTTCGATTGCTTCTTGCTATATAGTATGTTAAAACTGAACACATGGCCACTTATGAAGCTACTGAGATCACAAGTCTTACATATGGAAGTTCTTGCTCCCTCAGTTTAAGTATGTGAAGAGACACCTCCTCAGAAATTACAGCATTCGTTTCAGTCCTCTAGCAGTCGCTGCATTTGAACTTCAGTTTTAAGTCAAGAATCTGAATGATCGAGATGAGTGTGTTGCTAGGCAGCAGGTGGAGATGGGATGGGAGGCGTTCCCTCAGCCCTAAGGGCTTTCTGAACCACAGCACCAGCGCCATCTCCTGCAGGGGAAACCATACTGCAATCAGAGCTCATCACTGGGAAGAGAAACAAATCAACAGTCACACAGTTGTGATGAGCTCAAGTGCAATAGAAATCACTCTATTCTGCTTTATCTCATAAGGACTGGATGCATACCCTGGCCACTGGCGGTGTTTGTCTGTCAGTGGGACGTAAACCACACCCATCAGCGCTTTCCTGAGGAAAGTGCCATCGCTCTGACGGTCATACTGTTCCAGAACTTGGCTTTCACCCTCTGGGCCCACAGGCAAAACAAGTCTCCCACCTGGTTTCAACTGTTCCAGGAGCTGTTGATGCATATGTTTAAATAAGACTACTGCAGGCTATGTGAGCAACAATTAAGTCTTATTCATTATGTGCATACAGCTTTAGGGAGTGTAGGAGCTGCTGCTCCAATGTGAATGGCATCATAGGGGGCTTCATCAGGATAACCCAACCGTCCATCACCCACTGCAAGGGAGAAAAAATAACATTTCACAAAAACAAGTTGTCATAAACAGGTCAGATGAGAATGTTTGTGCTTCATTGTACAAGAAAAAAACACAATAATTATTTTAACAAATTATTTGAATCACTCACCCACTAATTTAATTCGTCCAAAGGCAAGCAATTCTGGATCGTCCGCCTGGACATTTTTCACAGAGGCTTGAACCAGCTCATCTATGTGGTCAATTCCCACTACTTTTCCAGAGGGCCCTACCTGTAGAATAAACATAGCAAAATATATACAACAGGAATCAGTATAATTAAATTAAATAATTATGTAAAATAATTTAAGAATCCAAAAAATGTGATGACAGATGTTTAGATTTTACTGTATATAATTTTAACTTTATTTTTAGATTTGTGTCTTCTTGTTTATTTTGTAAAATTTGAATTATCGTTCACGTTGGTGTAGAATGTGTTTTTTCAATAAGTTTATTATGCTCATTCTCATAATGAATTTATTTGATCAAAAATACAGAAAAAAAAATAATTTTGTGAAATATTATTGCAATTTAAAATAACAGTTTTCTATTTTAATATACTTTAAAATATAATTTATTCCTGTGAAGCAAAGCTGAATTTTTTCAGCATCATTACTCCAGTCTTCAGTGTCACATGATCCCTCAGAAATCATTCTAATATGCTGATTTATAATCAATGCTGGAAACAGCTGTGCTGCTTAATTGTTTTGGGACCTGTGATACTTTTTTCAGGATTCTTTGATAAATAAAAAGTTAAAAAGAAGCTAAAAAAAGAACAGTGCTTATTCAAAAAAAAAAAAAAAAATTATATATACATATATGTATACTGTATATACACATTTAAACAAAAAAATATATTAAAAACATGCATGAAATGCTGAAAAAACACAGCACTCACCATTCTGGCAAAGCATGCAGTGAGATATCCACTTCCTGAACCCACATCCAAGGCTGAAGCTCCTTCTGTTAACTTGTCACTGAGGACCTCAAGAGCATGTGCATGCTACACAACAAATCATTCATTATAGCATATTAAATATAACAGTAGCATCTATTTCAGAGGTGTTTGCCTGACCTACCATATGAGGGGCACTGATTGTAGCCTTGTATCCTTTGTAGAAAATACACACACACACACACACACACACACAATGTGAGTGAAAAATAGCTGGTTTCATTGTTGTTGTTTTTTTCAGTTTGCTTCATATATTCAAACCAATATGCCTGCTGATGTATGAAATTCACCTATGGACTGGGGAGAGTCAGCATAAGGGTGGTCTCTGGAATAAATCCCTCTATCAGTGGCAAGCATGGCATTAAACACTCTGTCACTGCGGATAACTCCATGATCTGTCACAGAATGACAACATTAAACTCTTTACTACTGAATCTATGTCCATTAAATGACATTTGTGTATTGAGATGTACAATAACATGTAAGTATTGTTTTTGTATCACTATCTATCTACTAACCTCTTAAGCGGGTGATGAGTTCTATATGTGTTTTGCCACTAGAGATCCATGCCATGGTTCTGGAGAGCAGCAAACCCATAGGGACCGCTACTGCTGCCAGTCTGAGCACTGTCTGCATTGCCTAACAAGCTGAGCCTGTAACAAATGATGTTTGGATTTCAACAACTGCCAAGTTAGGACAGTCTGTAAACTCAATCTGACATACACCTGTCCTGAGTCTTACCCCGCTGAAAAATAACCAACTTAAACCACTTTTACTTTGTCAAGCTGGTCTTCAAAGTCCCTAAAACCCCCTAAAATCCAGCTAACTCAGCAGCCTTACCAAGCTGGGAGACTAACTAAAAGCAGCAAACCTAAACTAATTTAAGATGTTTTTTCCCCCAAAAGGGTAAATTGTTGTAAAAAAATTACATACATTTAATTTTGTGTAAACTAAACAAAACCAAAGAAGTAATTGAATTTGTCATGCATGCAACAGTGTGTTTGTTCGTTTTAATATCTCTGGATCTACCTGTCTTTGGATGTCAGACCACTGATGCATCCAACATGCGTTCTTGATTCAGGTCAACAAACGTGAGAATCGGACCTAACCTAAATTTTACACGTCGAACACCAAATAGACAGTGAAATAACAAAATATTATTATATGCGCAACAAACTGGGTTTTAAAGATGTTGTACGTAGTTTTTTTTAACGCACAACCATAAATATCCCTGAGCAATAAAAAGAACAACAACATGCAGCGTCGCGTGTACAAAATGGTAACAGACTAAATGGGTGTATATGAATTACAAGTACGTAACTGTCAAGACAGAACAAAAACCTTTAATCGTGAATTTCGACCCGACGTCAACGTGCTGAAGAAGTAAACGGAAGTAGCATTTCCAAACACATCTCGACGACCAATCACAATCACGGAATTATTGACGGACATGTGTAACGGCCAATCAAATTCGGTGGGTAATCCCTGCCGGTTGCGTGCGTCTCAGCAGCAGTGAAGGAAAAGCAAGAGAGAAGGATGGGTTTTACATGCTAATACTAGTATCCCCCCCCCCCCATT